ACTCACTCTCCACCTCAGTTGCTGCAACCTTTCTCTTCCTGATTTCGTCCCTCCCTCGCCTGCGCTCACATTATGTTCATATCCTTGGCTATGCACACTAGCTTATTGTAGCGTGCATGCACACCAGCTTACTGTAGCGTGTATGCTTCCTCCCCTCACTTGTTTCCTCCCTCCATTTCTCTCACTCCGTGCCTGCTTTGTATCTTCCCTGCACACCTCTCTCCCAGGGATCTTTCGGAGAACAATCTAACAGGCAACATCCCGATACATTGGGTGGACTCAATAAGCTGGAATTCCTGTAAGTTGCATTTTCATACTGTGCATCTGTTGTCCATCATAATACATGACACATTAAGCACCTTAAGCTCAACTGCTGATGACAAAAAAACTGCTGATGTTGAAACTGCTGATGTTGAAACTGCTGATGACGAAACTGCTGATGTTGAAACTGCTGTTGACGAAACTGCTGATGACTAAACTGCTGATGACGAAACTGCTGATGACTAAACTGTTGATGACGAAACTGCTGATGACTTAACTGCTGATGACGAACGTTCCAGAAGTCTCTGTCCTTACCCCTTGATTATCTGAGAAGCCAATGTATTCCAGATATCGTTGCAGTTCACTAACTTGATCCTCACCTTTCCCAGTACTAATCCTGGCCACATTTGCATCCAACCCGTGAACCACTATCTGCTACCACAGCGTTATATACTACGCCATACATGTGTGGTCGTAGTATCAGTTGCTCCATACATCTCGGTTGCTCCACATGTGTGTTGTGAAGTCTTAAGTGTATCTTCATGTTACTTCGCATCTCCAATTTCTCAGATTGTTATGCAAGAATCTGCTTTCCAAAGCGATCCCTGATGTGCTTGGCTCGCTCAAGGCACTGTTAGCTCTGTAAGTATCTGCCAGACAAATAGGATTTTTTCTTGCATTGCGCCTCTTTCTCTTGGGTGTTCGGCTGGTCACTTGTGGTCAACCTATCACTTCCCACGATTTGGTTCACTTCTGCTCTCTTCACTGAAATTTATTCTGCAATTGTCGTACACGCTTCCATGCAATTAACACCTGGTAATGCTGAATGTCCACCTTGTGAGTGAAGGAATCCAATGTCACATCTTGTTTCTATTTGCCACCTCATTGTTTACGCACTTGTGCCTTCCCCTATTTTCTGCAGTGACCTTTCTACCAACCAGCTTTCAGGCACCATCCCGACCAGCTTCAGTGACTTTAATAGATTGAAGTTCTTGTGAGTGCAGGCACATGAACCCCTTGATTATGTACCATCTTAACAAACGCTGACATAATCCTACACAATACTGGTAGAAACCTATGTTAAGACAAGATACCTGCACAGCATGACAGGCACAACATTGTATGTTCTTGTTCTCACTAATTCCTAAAACACTTCTTACAAGAATGTATGCCAGCTCTTAACAACGGTATAGAACATGAATAAAAACAAGCCATGTTAATGTATCTATGGTAGACACGAGCAAATTTCCGAATGCCTGTTCGGTTCGTCCGAACATGTTCGTGACCAAACCGGACCGAACATGTTTTTTGGCAAAAAATGTTTGGCGGAACATGTTCGATGTTCGGAAGAGGGGGAGGGGGGGGGGGGGGGGGGGGGGGGATGAGGGAGGAGCTGGCCCACTGAAAACACACTCTCGTACCTCGCACATATTTGGGTTCGCCTCAAACATGCAGATGTTCGCCCCCTATCACGAACCTCGAACACTCTAAATCCCCGAAAGATGTTCGGGCGAACCGAACATGTTCAGTTTTGCTCCTTTCACATGTTCGAGCAGGGCGAACCAAACATGTTTGGTGTTTGCTCATTGCTCATGTCTAATCCATGGTATAAACATCGCTGATCCTCGCACTGGCAGTCTGACTTGAATACCAGTAGAGCCTTGCGCCATAAGTGGTAATGTGTACCCAATATTGTCCCTTCTATCATATGACCCACAGGTATCTTTACAAGAATCGTCTGTCTGGAAGTATTCCTACCAGCATGGGCACCTTGACATCTTTGGTGTCTCTGTAAGGCATCTCACATTTTTGCCTATCAATATTCTGTGTCCCTTGCTCATACCGAATCAAATCTCTCCTCTGAGTTGACCTAATGCATTCAAATCACACAAGAGCCTCATCTGTTTTGGCAATAGATCGTACATTTGGTTTTCCACGTCACCGTACTGATCCCCCACTTCCCCAACCCCCAACCTTCCTGCCCACCTGCCTTCCACCTTCCTCTACACCTTTCCTTGCTGTCAACAGTTCTCTTGATTCCAACAAGCTGTCGGGTTCTGTGCCCTCCTCTCTCACAAAGCTCACAGGAAAAACAAGCCTGTAAGCTCATACAGGAAAAGCAGGTTTCCAATATTTCCAGTCCAGAGGTCAAGAAATCTCAGTGTAGCAAGTAGCTCCCTACTGAGTATTTGAAGGCACGCGCGCCTCTTCGTTTCCAGCATGCCTCCTCGTGGTAGGCAGTAGCGTTCAGGGGTCCTGCAACAATGATGGTTTTATCAAGATGTGGAGTCTACAAATTTGTCTCATTTGAGAACAGTTCCTGAAGTTCCCCATTTGAGTATGTCTCTTTTCATTTTCCCAAAAAACTCCCTTGTGTTTCCCAGGGTTCTTGACAAAAATCAACTCACTGGCTCTATCCCAGCAGGCATCAGCTCTCTCACAAATCTCGTAGTCCTGTAAGCCACTTACCTTCTTCTCATGCACACACCTTCCGGCTCTTCTCATCTTTCCTTGTAAATAATGAATACTCGAAATTTTCATTCCCACCATGCAGCTCTTACCAGGATTCGTGTATCCAGCCACCATCAAGACATGAAAAGCACGAACAAATCAAAGACACACCTCGTTCCATAGTGATGGCCAATCTATATCCCCTCCTCCCGTCCCCTCTACTCTAATCAGAGCCTTGTCTCGCAACCATCTTGTTGGATCCATCCCTCACTCCATCGGTGCCTTCTCCAGTATATCTATCATGAAATCCTCACCAGAATATTCCCCATGAATTGCTCTTGAGCGTATCTGCTCTGTACTGCTCACTTCCATTTCGTGACTTGCCAGCTGCTTTCTTGTACAATAAGTTGCTAACACACTCTCATCTTCATATAACGTTTTCTCTTGCCGGGTTCTTTCAGCAAACTGCAGCGCAATCTTCTCACTGGAACAATTCCTGTGGCCATTGGGGACCTTTCCCGACTGGGTTACCTGTAAGCCCATTGAATTAATTTTTGTGATTAACACAAAATCGTGCAATTATCGCAATGACAATCATTGAATATCCAACAGGAGTATATAAGTCAGATAATATTTTGTTGTTTAGTTGATGAGTCCAACAGTATTCAAGATTATTTTGTAGGATTGAATTGTTTATGAATGGTGTAAAAAATTTATTGTTTAGTATATTCAATATGTTCCTGTATGGCTTGTTAAATCTGTTGATTAAAGATATCACGTCCAAGAGTAGTCAAGATATACCTAGCTGTAAGGCCTTCTCAATTACTACGTATTTAAGAATGTGCATATATACTTTTCGTTTGGCCCATACAATCGCACGCCATGTCGCTAACATCTCACCTCTTCTCCATGCACAGCACACGCACCAGTGTCTGTCACATTTCACGCACGGACATGCATGCATCAAGTTCCCCTGTGCTCTTTTTTCTCTTCCGTCCATGGCTAAGAAGCCAGGCATATGTGCTCTCCTCAGTACTTATCAAACACTGCATTGCTCTTCGTCAAAGGAGCTTACTTGTCTACGATACTGCTTGATGTTGCATGCTTGATGCTGCATGCTTCCACCACAATTCACACCAGGTCGCTTGCTTCCAACCAGCTGTATGGTCGCATGCCTAGCACGTTCACCGAGCTCACAAGCCTCGCCTACCTGTAAGCCATACTGCAGCGCACAACACCTTCTGTGGTTCAGACTTTTTTTTTTAATGGACCCACAAATTCTGTATCTCTCTCAAATTGCAAGCTGTGAGCTTCTAGAACACTGGAGGGAGCTGGTTTTGTATTGCAAGCACAGCTACCTGCATCAACCGTCTCAAAGGCTCCTCCACCATTGATCGTGTTGAAATTTATGAAACTTGGATTGAAGTTTTGCATATCAGGGTTTCACACATCAATACCAATAGATTATATGAGAACCTTGGTGATGTGACTAGATTCACTACACCCGCTAGCCAAGTTAAGAAGCTGAATGAACACAATTGAACCCCATATTCATTCATCACTCCACCTCACTCATTCCACTCAACATCCTAAGTTCTAAATCCTTTGCACGCAATTTCCTGTCCTCTTCCCCAACCCTCGCCCTCCCCTCCCAGCGACCTCTCCCGCAACTACCTCACAGGCCCCATCACGCTGCCCGCCATCAGCAGCCTGCGTGTCTCCAGCAACTTCTTCTCCGGCCCTCTGCCGGACGGGGCATGCCAGGCGCGCAACTTCGATGCCAACTGCTTCACACTGCCTTCTGACTGCTCCCTGGTGGTGCAACGAAAGGAAGCAGCATGCAATGCATTCTGTGGTATCTCCTCTGCTGCGACTTCATCCTCTGCTGGTGCAAGTGCTGCTGCCTGTGCCGGTAGAGGGATATGCACTCCAGACCTGGTCATGATGTCTGCGAGCTGTTTGTGTGATGCAGGGTTCATAAAGGCTGGAAGAAGCTACTGCATCTCAGAAGGTAAGCTCTTAGTTCTAACAAGCTTACAACCAGGGCAGGCAGAAAACATGGTTTATGACATTTGCACGCTTCCTGCAAAAGCATTTCTAACCTCACTAGAGATTCTGTGTGGAGTTCCATAAGCACAAGGCACAGCAACAAGACTCCCCATCTGAACCTTGCCACCATTAGCTTTACCCAATGGTCCACATATCTCTTTGAAGCGTCTTCACTTTAAGACTGGGGTTCTTCACTCTCATCCTCACCCTCACATAAGTATTCACCTTGACTGCCTTGCATGGGTCCAGGCGTAATTGTAAGCCATTCAGTCAGCCAGCCTATCGTTCCGCCAACAACTGTGCTCACCAAGGGGACAGTGAAGGAGACGGGAGGGAAGTTCACCGCAGCTCCAGTGACTCTGTTTGTTTTCGAGGAAGGGCAGGCCATGTATGGGTGTGGAGCGCAACTGGCCTTCCAGGTCAACTTCACCGTCGCAATCTTGCCCCGATCAGGCCCCACGGGCAGCGGAGGCTTTGCCTTTGTCATCTCGTCAACAGACCAACTTGGAAGCGGATCTGGTGTGGGGTATAGTGGAATGGACAGCCACAGCATAGCAGTTGAATTCGACACTCAACAAGACAAGCAGCAGGGGGACATGCTCAACCAGCACGTGGGGCTGAACATTCAAGGCCAGAAAAGGTCGCTAGCTGCTGTGAAGGCGCCATTTCCTCTTAATAACAAGAAGCCGTACACGTCATGGGTGGACTATGAGCCTGGGGAGCCCGGCACCATCCAGGTGTTCCTGGCTGCTTCGGAGGTGAAGCCAGTGGAGCCGCTGCTGGAGAGGAGGGTGGCGCTGTGTGAGGTGCTGCAGGCTGGAGCGGAGCAGCAGGCGTTCTTCTTTGGCTTTGTGGCGTCCACTGCAAAGCCATTCCAGATGCAACTTATCCTCAGATCAGCACTGCACACAGGTAAGCGATGTGTTGGTGGTCGTCGTTGTCGTGGTGGTGGTGGTGGTCGTCGTCGTCGTGGTGGTGGTCGTGGTGGTCGTCGTGGTTGTCGTGGTCGTGGTCGTCGTGGTCGTGGTCGTCGTGGTCGTCGTGGTCGTGGTGGTGGTCGTGGTGGTGGTCGTGGTGGTGGTCGTGGTGGTGGTCGTGGTGGTGGTCGTGGTGGTGGTGGTGGTGGGGGTGGTGGTGGTGGTGGTGGTGGTGGTGGTGGTGGTGGTGGTGGTGGTGGTGGTGGTGGTGGTGGTGGTGATTGGGTGATGCTGATTGAGATTATCGCATGCATTGCATTGAGCATTAGTTACCTCTACAGCTAGTTTGTGGTGCTAAGGTATCGGATTTACAGTACCACGAGTGAGACTATATGAGATTGTTCAGCCCGTTGAGTGCTTCTCAACTCTCCATGCTTTAAATCAAATCTCCGTATTGTGTGGTGTTGCTCATGTGTGCCTTTTTTTTTAAGGTCTTCCTGCCGTACACAATCCAGTGGGCATCACTCCACGTAAGCAACCCTCTTTTCCATTGCATCAATGACTAATGAACTCCTGGTTCTCATATATTTTATCTCCCAATGGTCCTCTTTCAACAGCCTGGTGTTTGTATGTTATACAGCATTCTCACACTCTGTTTTGCTGTCTTTCTCTCCAGTGTTACCGATTTAATAAAGCACGTGTTTGTACAACCACATCCCTCCCCAATTCAACAACTACTTCCTCTGCTCTGAACCCACCTTCACCATCTCAGCCTTTGGCCTGAGTATTTCTCCAGCGTCATATGCGCCAGTGGGAGCCAGTCCCTTCATGCGCTACATGAGTGTGGACTACCAAGGTTTGCCCAACCAGCCGAATGAATGGCACGTCAGCAGCTCCCTTTCCTGGGACTCCATGTCCTTCCTTGGCTGGCCCGTCAAGAACCAGAAGGACTGCAGTGAGTAGGCATGGTTAGACTGAATAACATGTACAAGAGAATCTAGCCTTTTTCACACTCAGAGGTTGTGGTGTGTTGTGATTTCTTAGTGGTTTTTTTAATATATATTTTTGCGGTGGTCTTTTTCCGAAAAAGGGAGGCAGGTTATGTCAGAATATTATGCTCTAGCCTGTAGTGGGGTGCTCTTTAGCGAGTACAACCCTTCTAGGGTTTGCTATTTGTATCCTCACTCTTGCTAGTGCAACCCCTCTCTTTGCCTAAACTGTTTCTTGCCTAGCTAGGGCTTTCCTAGCTTTGGCACCTCTCTTCTTCCTACTATTTTCACATGCTATCAGAGCAGGTCGATCCCCTTGGATCGATCCTGTGGGTGGTCTTACCACCTCGTTGCTTCCGCTGCAACTTCCACTGCTACCCTCTGTGCCGCACGCCCCGTGGCGTGCGGCAGTTTTTCTTCCCGCCGTGCGCCCCGAGGCGCGCGGCGGTTTTCTGCCCGCCGTGCGCCCCGTGGCGCGCGGCGGTTCTCTGCCCGCTGTGCGCCCCGAGGCGCGCGGCGGGCTTCTGCCCCGTCACTCGGCGCGTCGCCCTCGGGAGGCGCTGCGACGGGCGACGGGGACCCGCGCGTCGCCCCCCGTCGCCCGTCGTGGCCTGCGCGCGGCCCGTACAGGCTGCGCGCGGCCCGTACAGGCTGCGCGCGGCCCGTAAGGGCTGCGCCAGGCCCGGACGCGGCCCGTACGGGCTGCGCCAGGCCAGCGCGCGGCCCGTACGGGCTGCGCCAGGCCCGCGCGCGGCCCGTACGGGCTGCGCCAGGCCCGCGCGCGGCTCGGGCCGCCTGCGCGCGGTTCGGGCGGCTGTGCCAGGCCCGTGGGCGGCCCGTTCCTCGCTGCCCCTGCCCTCCCCGCTGTCCCCCGTGCTTCTACTGGCGCCCCACCCCTCCTACAGCCCGTTCTCCTGAATTAGGGTTTGGGGGTGAGGGGTATGGGGGTGAAGCCACTGTGTGCCGTTCCCTGCTCCTCCTCCTCCTCCGTCTCCCTGTGCTGCAGCTGCCGCTGAGGGGGGGTGGACTTGTTGGAGCCGTTGGAGTGGTACTAAGGGGGGGTGAAGGGGGAGTGGAGCTAGCGGTGTAGCAGCGGGTGTGTGTCAGGGGGAGTGGGATAGTTTGGGGAGGTTGAAGGGGGTGGCCGCCGTGAAGCCAGCAGCTCCAGTCGCCCGTGAGACCGTTGCGCCAGTCGCCCGTGAGCCCGTTGCGCCAGTCGCCCGTGAGCCAGTTGCTCCAGTCGCCCGTGAGTCCGTTGCTCGTCTGCCGCTACTTTTAGCCGCGGAGCCAGTTACTCCAGTAGCCCGTGTGCCAGTTGCTCCAGTTGCCAGTGTGCCAGTTGCTCCAGTTGCCCGTGTGCCAGTTGCTCCAGTTGCGCCGTGTGCCAGCAGCTTCAGCTGCCGCCCACTACCTCCTCTCCTCTCATAGTCTCTTTCCTCCTCCTCACTTGCCCGTTGTGACTACCACTAGCTTTGCTCATAATTGTGAACTTTAAACTATTGCTTCTTGAACTTGTGCTCAGAATGTGTGGTGACATTGTGATCCACCCTGAGCTTGTACTGCTTTGCTTGCTCTGCTGATTACACCCCACTTTGGCTATGGGGGTGTGTCAGAATATTATGCTCTAGCCTGTAGTGGGGTGCTCTATAGCGAGTACAACCCTTCTAGGGTTTGCTATTTGTATCCTCACTCTTGCTAGTGCAACCCCTCTCTTTGCCTAAACTGTTTCTTGCCTAGCTAGGGCTTTCCTAGCTTTGGCACCTCTCTTCTTCCTACTATTTTCACAAGTTAGTACCCCTCTTCGTTTTCACTATCTTAATCCTTCAAAACACTACCGTCTTCCAGATGCGAGTTGGGCATATGCAGTGGTGGCGAGTGTGGAGGCGGCATACGGCATTGCACTGAACCAGGAGGCTCCACAGCTGTCAGTGGACTCTCTCTTTGCAGCCATGGGGCTCACCTCCCCTGCTGCCAAGTGCACCACAGGAAACTTCCCTGCTGCTGCCTTTAAAAAGCTCCTCACTCTACTACGTGGTGGATTTATGGGGTTTACCAATTCGGTAAGAAAGATTTGTTTGCAAATTCCATGCAACCCAGCAAGCACATTCACAATCGCTCGTAGAAGATGACATCACGTGCTGCTACTGTTTGCTTTGTGTGGACGTAAGAAATCTTCCATGCGTTGTAGTGTTTTTCGATGCCCGGATGAAGTCCCCACTGTGCGCGTTGGGAGAATCGTCCAGCTCGTGCAGCTGGGGGTCGGTACTGTACCATGCAGCCAAACAGTCGTATCATTTTTGTGCTGCCCAATTTTCCTGTCCACAGCAGATGCGGTGATGCGTTGTTCGGGAGCGATCATGACGAGAGCAAGTTGTGCAGCATGACAGCGTGGTCCATCACCTCGGGCCACTGGTGGTTAGGTGGCCACATGCCACGTAGCAGCTTGTGCATGGTGTTATGGAGGGTCCTGTTCACTTTCTGCCATGCCTTGTTGCTGATGAGCGTAGGGAAGCGAGATGAGTCACTTGATGCCTCTCTCTTCCAGGTACTGCGTGAATCTCTGACTGATATTCTCCTCCTCCGTCCGACTGAAAGATCTTCAGCTTCACTCCTGATTCCCTTCCTGCTACTGGAAGCCAGGCGACGAAGGCTTCGAAAGCCATGTGCGGCTCTGAAGGTTGAGGTGCCAGACGTATCGGGTGGCGGCGTCGATGAACGTGATGACGCAGTTGTAGGCTCCTTGTCCGCTTTCACGGTTGAACGATTCACTGTAAACCTTCTCCAGTGGTGCGTATGCAGGTGCGCTTGGGTTGTGATGAGAGACGAATGGCTTATGAGGTAAGTCGGCTTTGGGGCAGGTAAAACATGTTCCGCGAAATCGTTGAAGTTCTCTGCCGTCGTGTAGTAGCAGTGAGTCTTTGTCAAGGACTCCAGCTCTTGTCGTGTTGTTTAATGTTGTGTTGCTCGGATGTCCCGTCCTTGCATGCCAGATGGATTCGCTGGCGCGGTGTCCTGGTGAACGCCCGTACAAATCGGAGTTGGAGTAGAATCCCGCATTGAGGTTGGCGCTTTTGTGAACTTCACGTGGAGTTGGAGTCAACTACTGCGCAGGAGTCGGTGGAGTATCGTCGACAAAAACTGGTGCCGTTGAAGGACCCGTGATTGGTGTTGTAGTTGGTGTTGCCTCTGCTGCTGCCGATGTTGTCTCTGCTGCTGCCGATGTTGTCTCTGCTGCTGCTGATGTTGTCTCTGCTGCTGCGGGTGTTGTCTCTGCTGTCGCCGATGTTTGTTGAATTGTTACTAATGCACTCGGTCGTTCTGCTTCAGGTATAGTGTGTGAGTACCAGAAGCCTTCAGGGCTGAAGCCAGGGTCAAGATCTGGCGGGTGTGTCCAAGAGGTGAAATTGACGATGGCGTCGCTATCGGCGGTGCCTTGGTCTGGAACGAAGTCAAGAACGAAGACATTGTTCTTCAAGACTGCCTTGCCGATGTAGAGTCCTCCTCTCCTGTGGTACAGCTTGAACTCCTGGGTGGTGTTGTCTGCTTCAAGATGAATTCCGTTCGCCATTAGTTGACTAACGCTGAGTAAGTTGTAGCCGAGTCCTTCTGCGATTAAAACCTTTGACATCTAGAGAACAACGTTGGTTTCTCGAGACTGAAGTTGAACTATCCCCTGTCGTCGTGTGTGCAGGTTCTGGTTGTTGGCGACGGTGATTATGAGTTCGGGCTGAAGTTGGTGTTCCCGTTGAACGAAGCGACCCGATGAGCACATGTGCTGTCCGCAGAAACGGTCCAAGAACCAGATGTCTTTCCCGGATGGCTCGCTTTGGGCGATGGCTGCGTACGTCGGATTCGGCTCCAATGATTCGCGGCGGGGAGTGCTTTTGTCAAGCAGTTCTTCTAATGAGTAGTGTGCTAGCGATTTGGTGATGCAGGAGACCATTATTCTTGCCATGCAGCTCACGATTTTTCTTGAACCTTGTGCAGATTGTGTTGTCGGTGTCGTTGAAGACTTTACTTGAGTAGTTGGATATGCCTGTGTCGAAGCCACTTGACTACTTGAAGGTTGGAGTTAATGGTGCGGCGGTGTTGACTGCTGCTGATTTGGGCAGTGGGTGCGAGGGTACCCTGACGTCTTGCATAGATGGCAGAACGGCAGTACGTACTGTTGAGCTTGATGTTTATTCTGTCGATTGTTGTTGTTGTTGTAGCGCCGTTGAGTGTGAAACGCGAACTCAGGTGCTGACGCTCTTTTCTTGTGTCGTTCTTCATGTAGATCCATGTCCTGCTGTTCAGCGTGAATTTCGGCGCAGAGTGCCGCTTCAGAGATCTTCCCATGGGCTCGGAGAACGGCTCGAATGGAGCGCCAATGAGGACCGAGGCAAGTGATGACAACTGTCACGAAGGCTTCTTCGGATATCGAGCCTCCGCATCGAAGGAGTCTATCGCGCAGTCCACGACAACGGCTGATATACGCCATCCCCTTTTCGCCGGGTTTCATTTCCACTTTTGTCAGTTGTGCCATGAGACGACTTTGGTTAACGCTGTCTGTTGCTTGATACAAGTTCTTCAGGTGGTTGTACGCGAGCTCGGCGGAGTTGCCGTATCCATGATAAGACCGATGTTCTGCTGGTCATTTGTCGTTATGTTTCGTAGCAGGATTGTGTACGCCATCAGCGACTGATACGTGTACTGCTGCTTGTCGTTCTGTGTTCCATGCGTTGGGTATGGTAGGGAACCGTCAAAGAACCTAAGGATTTGCGCGCCTTCCATCATCAGCTCGAACTCGAATGACCAGGTATAGAAGTCTTTGCCGTCGAAGGGCGTCGATGTGTGTAGTTTCAAGACGTGCGCAAACTGCGATTGAACCTGAAGCGCGTCCAGTATCTTTTCTTGTCCAGGTGAAGGCTGCTGGTGTGGCATGAAGCTTATGGAGCCGCTCTGAGGCTCGTACGGAGCAAAGGTGGGTTGCTG